TAATACATTTTTTGTTGAAGATTCAAGCTCTGAAAGTGAACTAATTATATCAGACAATGAAATTAAATCAGAATCTGATAATGATAAAGGCTTTGATAGCTCTAATAAAATATATCTAAATAGTTTCGAATATATAGATAACCCTGATAATTATATTGAAGACAAAGCTTATGATGACTTAAAATTAAAAGTAAAAGAGTTTTTTAAAAATGGAAATATACATGTCACCCTAAATGCTTTGAGAAAATCAGATATGAACATTTTCTTGCACGTCGAATAGAATTTGAAAGCTTAAGCAAAAATATATGTGATTTGGTTGTTAAAAGACAGCTAATGGCTTTTCAAAAAGATGAAAATACAAAAAAAGTTACTGCAACTAATAGAAAGTACTTATGGTTTTTTGGACTCAGTCTCTAGTTTCAAGTTTGGTCTTCTTGTAGCACTGTTGAAAGTTTCTGTTACTTCTTCACTCGGAACTTCCCAAACGGGTTTCGATCATTGCAGTTTCTTGGTATTTTATACGCTGAAGCTCCCATGTAAACATGGTGTTACCAAGATTACAGGTTCTGGGACCCAACTGATCAACCATGACTATCACCATATTACAAGCTTATTTTTCAAAAACATCATCTGTGGGATTCGAACTTTGGACCTGCTGCTTGGTAGGGTAATGACTAGACTACTTCACTAAGCCACCACACTCAATATATATAATATTTAAAAATTTCCCAAACCAAAATTAATATAATTCTCATATATCAATCTGAATCTGTATTGCTATATAAAACTATTTTATTGAATGCCTAGTATAAAGAAGCAATATACATATTAAATAATTTATATAAATCTTTATTTAAGTTTAAAACTTGTACTAAATATCTTATTTAATATTTATTGCTTATAAATAACTAGTATAATAAAAATTTTTATAAAACAAGTATTAAAAGCACAATACTTTCACTCTACGATTCTTTTACCAAACTTTAATTTTGACTTCTTATTGTTTTTTATCACCCAACTAATAAAATTTTATAAAACTAATTATTTAATAGTTTATGCATTTTTTACTATCTTTTATTTGAAGCAAAAACTTAAGGCTGTGAAATTTAGAGAGATTTAACAAATATTGCTTTCTATACAATAAAGGCTTCAAGTTTGCTT